GGGCGGTCTTCCCTCGGCAGCACATTGAGAAGGGGTTCAAACACAAGGACCTGAAGCAGCAGCTGGTGGACGCCAAGCTCCAGCAGGCGCAGGAAATGCTGAAGGAGGCAGAGGAGAGACACCAGCGAGAGAAGGACTTTGTAAGTCTCAGATCAGTTCTCTGATGGTTGCGAGCGCTTCGCTTTTTGCCTCGTCCCTCTGCGGAGGCTTGTTCCTGTTGGATCCCTGAGTGCAGAGCCCACGTCGGATCAGGTCGTCCCAGGTCCCCTGTGTGCCCAGCAACAACCGCTCCCCCAGCAGCTTCAGGAGCAAGGCTGGAGCCCTGCTCTGCTCTTTGTGTTTCTCCCAGCCTGCTCCCATCCCCCAGCAAAGCGCCAGCCGTGCAGGGGCGTGCTGAGAGCCGTCCCTGGTGGCAGCCAGGTAACTGCTTTTGCTCTTCCCTAGCTGCTGAAGGAAGCTGTGGAATCGCAGAGGATGTGTGAGCTGATGAAGCAGCAAGAGACCCATCTCAAGCAGCAGGTGAGTCACCCGGCCTGTGTGCTCAGCCTGGTTATTTGTTTGGGGTTTTTTTTTCCTTCCTCCCTAAGTGGGCAACAACCCAAAGTTCCTTAATCTGGAGACACAGGGGCAGGATTGCCCCTGGGTTTGGTATTGGTGAGCCTGGGTCAGCGTGGTGTGAGCTGAGGCTTCCTTCAGCAGTTCTGGGAGGAAGGGGCCTTGGTTTTTACCAGCGCATTTCCCAGTGCCGGGAGCAGTCGTGTGATCACACCTTGCTGAATCAGCCCCAACAAGCGCCTCCTGCCAAGGCCAGGAGATGTTTGCAGAATGCGTCTTTGAGAATTTTTCCACATTCCCCGGTACCTAATGTTGTCGGAGGCGGCTCCGTGCTGCCAGTTTGTTTGTCGTAAAGTCCACGAGATAACTAGCTCGGTTCTTGGCTGACATCCCCCTCTCCTGGGGAAGGCTCTCGGGAGGTGCTGTGCTGAGCAGTGAGGAGCTGTAACCCCGTCTCTCCCCGCAGCTGGCTCTCTACACGGAGAAGTTTGAAGAATTCCAGAACACCCTTTCCAAAAGCAGTGAAGTGTTCACGACATTTAAACAGGAGATGGAGAAGGTGGGTAACGCTTTTGCTGCCCAGCAGAGCTTGCGTGGGCTGGAGGCGCTGCCAGTCTGTCGCTCCTCGATGCTTCTGCGAGCTGGAAGAGCCGCAGCTCTGGACTTTTGTTTAGTTTTGCTGGTATTAAACTCAGCCACGAGCTGGCTGCTCACAGAGGTGGATACCTGCTGTGCCCCACCTGTGTCAGAACAAGCAGCGCTCCCCCTCTCTCCTGGGTTGTTGTTACGTGGTCAGTTGTTCCCTCTGAAGCTGACTGCAGCGACACAAGGAGACGTTTCCCAGGATCGCAGAACCTCCCGGTCTGCGCCGGGGTCGTGGGTGCCCATCTGAGGACACGTGAGATGTGACTGCCTGCAGCGCTCTGCCTGTGGCTTATTTGTTCCCTTTTTGTCACCGCGATTCTGCAGATGACTAAGAAGATCAAGAAGCTGGAGAAAGAGACCACTATGTACCGCTCTCGCTGGGAGAGGAGCAACAAGGCTCTCTTGGAAATGGCTGAAGAGGTGAGGAGGCTCTGGCCGTCCTTGTGTGCGGCGGCAGGGGGCTGGAGCGGGGTGGTGATGGGGGGGGGTAGCAGGGCAGCTCCTGTCTTACTGCAGGCAGGTTGGGGGGGGTTGTGTTTTTTCCCTTCAGTTTGATTTCCTTCCCTGCAAGCGGTGGTAGGAGCCCTCTGTCGCGTGGCAGGAGTGATGGTTAATTAGTGCGTTAATTAGCGCTAAGGTGCGTGGAAGAAGTCGGGCGGTCTCAGGGGCACTTGGCCTTTGTGGGGGCAAAGGGAGACAGCAGCAGCGACGGTGGCGTCGGGTCCTCTGAATGCCAAACTGTTGGCATTGGTCACAAGTATTTTCCCTTTGCGCTTCCACCCGAGGTTTTGTCTTCGCTCCCTTTCCGCCTCTGTCCCCAGCACGGCACTGAGCTCCCTCTCTGTTTACAGAAAACCCTTCGGGACAAAGAGTTAGAGGGGCTTCAGGTGAAAATCCAGCGCTTGGAGAAACTCTGCCGAGCCCTGCAAACAGAGCGCAATGACCTCAATAAGAAGGTGCAGGACCTGTGTGCTCACGCGCCCCGGGCAGACATGGACCCGTTGGAGCCTCTGAAGGATCCCTCTCGGGACGGCTCTGAGGCGGCGGCGGGAGGAGCTCCAGCAGAGCAGCGCCTGGCTGAGGATTGCCTTCACTCGGGAAAGCCGACGCACAGCACGGAGCCTGCGGAGAGCCTGGGAGAACTGAGCATAGGAGCCCTGGGGCAGAGTGGGACTGAGGAAGGCCCTCAGGGCGCTGACTGAGCCCGCTGTGTGGCAGGCGGAGGTAGGGCGAGGGAGGGTAACGCGAATCCGTTTCCGTAGGCTCGATCTGACGCCCTGGTCCTTGGACAGGCGCAAGAGGAGAGCCCTCCTGGGGATTTGAGATTGCCTAGCTTAGGTTTTCGGAGGGTTTTTAAAATTTTATATATATATATATGATATATATATGATATATAAAATATGTGCAGGGCAATGTACTCTTTATATATGGATATACCTGAGAACCAGAATGACCCAGCTCCCTGCGTGTGCGTGAATAACTAATATATGGAGACCCAACCGAGCGTCCCTTTCACTAAAAGACCTTGTCATTGGCAGGCTGCGACCCCCCCAAAACCTCGCGCGGCTCAGGAAAGCGGGCGCGTGGATCCGCGCCGGCACGCGGCGCTGGGACAGCGGGATGCGTCACCGCCTCCGCAGCGACTCTCGCGTCGAGTGAAAGCGAACGAGCCGAGCAGGGGAGAAGCGAAGCGTTTCCCAGCGCTGGATTCTCCCTCCCTCCTGTGCCTCGGGCAGGAGGGAGCTCCGGGACTTGCTCTCGTTTTCCTCAGGCCCTGGCTGGCAGCTCCCCGTGCGCGAGCGAGGGCGCAAGAGGCCGTTTCCCCTCCGCTGTGTGGGTTTTGTGTATTGAACGGGGACAAAAAGCAGCAGAGAAACGGGGGGTGCCCGGTTCACCCAGGCCTCCCGCGGGGCCTTTGCTCTTCCCGGAACCTGCCGATGTCTCAGTAGCCTTACGATTCACAGTTGCCTCTTTGCTATACGCACATGTGCACAAGTGTATTAAACAGTTAATCCAAAGGTCTAATTCCCACGTGTTTTGCACAAGTGCGTGCGATCAGTTGTGCAAGGGGCTGGGGAGGTTCCACCTGAGCTCCTCTCTTCCCGCGTCAGGACCTTCCTGGCCCATCCCTTGGTCTTGGAGGCGTTGATGGAGCTGGGGCTCCAGGAGGATAAAACCTGCGTCTGCGCCACGACCTGCTGCCCGAGCCCAATGGCCAGGACCAGCACAAGGCCCTGTGGGCCGGTCCCTTCCGCACCAGACCCCCACAGGCTCTCCTGGGTGGCCATGCTGGTGCTCCCACAGCCCCTGCCCCGGCTCCTTTCCCCCTCTGCTTTCCCAGGGGAGCGTCTGCAAGTGCTGCTGTGCTTGGGGGGTGTTTGAGGACAGGCGTGGGGCCTGCTGGCACAGGGCTTGGGGCATTTCTCCTTAGTTTCTCAAGACTCCCTCCTTTTCACTGTTCTTTTGGGAGACCTCTGCTTGCTTGGAAACCTCCTCGCTGCAGCCTCTCTGTACGCCAGACTTTATTTTCAGCATCGCCTTCTTTTTCCTTGAAGCTGAAGCGAGCTGGCTGGAGCCCTTCCTCGCAGTGGATGGGTTCGGTGGAAAGGTTTCGGCTTCTCTTCCAGCGCTGCAGCTGCTCTCTCGCATATTCTCTCTGCTGTTGTACAGAGCCCTCACCAAGGACCTGCTGGGGGAGCAGCCCCCAGGAGCTGCCTCCGCGTCCCCCTTTCCTCCACGGGGACCTCAGCGAGTTCAGGGGTACCGAGCGAGGCTGGCTGCTGTGGAGACGGGATCCAACGAGGGAACATGTTCCTTGGAGCTGAGCGTGGCTTTGTCGTCCAGCCCCTCACTGTCAGCGTCGCTTCCTCCAGCGCAGGGACACCTTTGCCTCCCCGAGGAGCTGGCAGAAGCCCCCGAGGAAGTACCTGTACCTCCGGCCAGGCGGGAGCATCCCCAGCAGCCGGGCTGAGCGAGGGCTGCAGCCGGGCTCTGCACTTCTCTTCCCACTCTTGCAGTAAAAGAAAAAACCTCTTACAAAGTCACCAACGCCCCCCCGCCTTATTTTTTTTTTTCCTCTTTTCCCTGTTG